TGTTTTCCCGGGGGCTGCCACCGTAATGCGAAGTAAACACCGGGAGCGGGGGGAAATCGCGTTAAATTAGTAAAAATCACGTTAAATTAGTAGCGACAGCCGTAACGACATTTCTGTGAGCATAAAAACATTTTAAAAGGAATAAAGCTTCGCTTTAGTTGACGATAAAGGGCTGGTGGCTCTGTCGACGGTCATAAGAACTAACTTGCCTAAGTAATGCCGAGTTTCCCGACGTCGTCTGGGTCTTGCCGCGCTGCTCTTGCAAACAGTTCATTTATGTCGTTAGCAGCGCCGTTGGTGGCCCGATTTCGTTGGTGGCCGCCGCGGTCACACGTGCGAGGGGAGGGATTCAAATCGGTGTAAGTAGCACCCGTTATCCGTTGTTAGAAGGGATTCAAATCGGTGTGAGTAGCACCCGTTATCCGTTATTTGAAGGGATTCAAATCGGTGTGAGTAGCACCCGTTATCCGTTATTTGAAGGGATTCAAATCGGTGTGAGTAGCACCCGTTATCCGTTATTTGAAGGGATTCAAATCGGTGTGAGTAGCACCCGTTATCCGTTATTTGAAGGGATTCAAATCGGTGTGAGTAGCACCCGTTATCCGTTATTTGAAGGGATTCAAATCGGTGTAAGTAGCACCCGTTGGCTGTTACCTCACGGTGTTTTGCTGTGGGGTGTTACAGGTAGCCTCTCAATACGTTGGTAACTGTCACTAAATAATCCTTTGACAAAGACTTTAAAAACAGTGGGAGCCTGTAAGAAGTAACCTGCAGGGTCAGGCCAGTGGTCCATGTAGCCCAGAATTCTTTCTTCCAAGAACTGCGATAGCCGGTGATAGTTACAGAGAACTGGTTCGTTTAAGCACTGTGTGCTCCCCGTTCTTGGAATCACCCGGTGTCTGCAATTGAAGGGGTAGGATGCTGGGGGGTAGTTCCTGCTCAGTCCTTTTAGTGCCCGATTATGACTTTGTCCCAGTTTTGCTGAGATAGAATCATAAAATCAATTTTCCGTTCAGAAAAGCTACATTCCTAAAGTAAGCTGCATTCTTTAAGAAGACTGCAGCACCCGATTGGGTGAGAACAAAGTTGATAAGACATAAGGCACTTTGGTTTAGTTTGTAGCCAGCCTTGGTGTGCAGGTATCCATAGTGATCAAAAACTTTTCAACTTGTTTTTGCTAACAAGAGGTCCAAGAACCTGGAGGGAGCACGGCCAGGGCGACTGACACCTGAACGGGCAAATAGATATTCCTTACCATGTAATGTCATGCTCACTATAAATTTGAAAGTTTTTTGGGGATGAGTTCTCTCTTTCTAAATGGTTGCTGTCCCTGGGAGGGTCTCACCTGTTATTCTGCGGCCGAGGCCTACGTTCTCTTTGGCCCAGGATTGCAGTTTCGAGATCTTCCTGCTCTGGGATCAGTAGCCAGGAACAGTCAAGGAGTGGTGAGCAATTGCATCGTACATCACTTGTCTGTATATATAATTATTATAATTATTTTTGATTTCACTTTATTCTATATTACTTCAATTATTAAATAGTTCTTATCTCAACCCACAGCTCTTCCTTCCTTTTCCCGATTCCCCTCCTCGAGTGGAGAGGGATCACTGGGTAATAGAACAGCTGGCTATTTTTTAGCCCTGGATACGGGCTAAACATAGACCCTCTGTTGCCCTGGGTTTGTCTAATTCCGTGTTGAACCTGCTGATCCATCTGCTTTTACAGCCTGTTACTACGGTAGCAAGTTCTAGACACTATCTACGACATACGGAAATAGAGATGACCACCCCAAACAGACATCAAGAAGCAATATTTGCAGGAAAGCAGAGTGGAATTCCTGGAGGCAGAGGCAGTTGAATCCTCATGTTTAGTAGTCTTGTAGAGAGGTGGAAAAGTAGCAGCAAAAAGAGAGCCTTACAATTAAAATGTGACATTTGTGGTTGACACGGGTAAACATTGAAATACTTGTTTGTTTCCAGGGCTGGAAGAAACTTTGTTGATTAGTTCAAAATGTAGCAGCAAGAAGGCCACAACTTTGCAGACAGTGAGGATGCCAAGGAGCAATGGTGAGTATGACTTTGTTATTGGAACAGTGTCAAGTAGTAGGTGACAAATCTTTGACATGACTTTTGCTTCAGTGCTTTCCTTGCATCAGTAGAGGGGGAAACTCTCATGTTCTGTTTCTGCTGGTGCAAGGTCCTCTGTTGCAGTCGCACATCACACAGGTTAGTCATGTAACTGCTGCTTCCACGGAACTAGATTTTGCCGTGCTAGGCGTTACAGCTGTTAAATTTTAGGGACTTAGTTCTCCTTGCAGAAGTGCTCCCACTGTCTGTTTAGTCAGCTACTTTCAAATTGACCCAAGTCATGTAGATCCCTTTCAGAACTTTATTTTTAGTAAATATGTTGGCAAGATTATTAAGCCAAATCATATAACCATTCACTCATAACAAATCAATTTGAATGTATTAATGTCATGGTTTGATGTGGAGGGGATGGGGGTTCTGGTGGCAGGACAGGGGCTTTGGTCCCTGTGACCTCCCTGGTTTTGGAACCGGGTCAGACCTGGTTCTGGCCACCAGATCAGACTGCCATCCCCCTCGGGGTTGAGCCAATCAGCGCCTCTGCGAATTGCCCTATTTAAGTCGGGACAAAGGAACCGGAAAAGGTGCTTTGCCCAGGAGCGAGGAGAGAAGGGAGGAGGGCACTGCCCCCACTCCCTGGCTCCCGGCTGGGCAGCTGCCTGGGTCAGGCTGGCGCCGCCCGGCGGCGGCGGAGCTGGCTGGGGAACTCGGGGGCACCCCACTCCCAGGGTGCCCACTGGGCTGAGCTCACCTGGAGAGGACTGAGATCTGAGAGAAACAGCCGCATCGACAGCAGTTTTTTTTGAGCGGGAGGGGGGGTGCGGGAGCCGAGTTTCCCCTGCAGCTGGTGGTGAGATAGCAGGTGGCCCCCCTGCAACCAGGACGGCCTCGGAGTAGAGACCCACTCGCAGCCCGTGGAGAGAAGATGCCTGAGCCTGAGGATGGTCGTGTTGGGGTGCATGACAAGGCAGAGAGGCATCTGGAGTCTTCGTGACGGCCCACGCCGGAGCGAGTGGCTACAACTCCCTAAGGATCCGAGACTGTGGTAAAGCCCACACTGGGGCAATCTGTGGGGAAGGATTGCTTCCTGTGGGCTGGCCTCATGTTGGAGAAGTTTGTGGATTTTTCCTCGTGGGTAGGGGATCCACTGGAGCAGGGGAAAAGGGTGTAAAGACTCCTCCTCCTTTAAGAGAGAAGCAGCAGTAACAGCACGGAATGAACTGACCTGCACTCCCCCAGTCCCTGCCCCCTGTGCAGCTGGGGATGGGGGGGAGGAAGGTGTCAGTTTTTAAGATCTGCTTTGTTTCTTTTTATCCTCTCACGTAACCAGTTTTGTTTCCCTTTGTCCTTTTAAGTAACCGTCAATAAATAGTTTTGCTTTTAAGAAAGCCAAGTCTGTTTTGCCCAGGACCATGGTTGGTGGGTGCTCCCTCTGTTCTTGTCTCATGCCTCAGTCCCTTTATTATATTTTTCTCCTCTCCACTTTACTGGAGAAGGAAAGACTGTGTGAGTTTTAGTTGCTGGATCAGCCTAAAACCACGACAATTATGAATTTTTTTTTTCTGTAATCGTGCTATGTTCCTTCTTAGTCAAAGCTACACATAGATTACTAACGTTCTCTTCAGTGTAACTCTGTTCATAAGAGGACATAGTGTAAAAATTTTTATTCTTTAAAACTAGTGTATCTTAAGGAGTTTTTCTCCTCATGGAAATATACCAGAGTTCTTTAGTCTCAGATTGTTCTTTTCCAGTATAACGCCGTTGCTTTTTTGCTGATCTGGGCTTCTTATCTCTTTTCAGAAGAAATTTATCAGTATAAAACATTTGATGTATAAAAGCATTTAATTTAAAAAGGACTCATGTCAAATCATTGTATTTTTGTGATTGAGCTGAGATTTTGAAAGCAATAGAAAAACCAGTTTGTAATATTGAGATCTTTCTCGGTTTAAAGTCTTTATGAAGATGACAGTGTTTCAAAGGTAGATGATACCTATTAGACCTCTGTGGCGCTCACTCGGAATAGCACCTCTTACTTCACAGAGAATGAAAACTAGTGACTGGCTTATCTGCATGTATGGAGCAAAGATTATTTGAAGAAACTCTGGAGGCAGGTGAAGATATTCCCTGCCTCCCTGGAAGGGAAATGGGTGTGATTGTTCTAATGACACTTACTATCGTAAAATTGTTGGGAAGTCCCACTGAGCTTAGAGGGATGTTTCTGTAGAGGGTCAGTGCTTTATACTTCAATCTAGAGCATCATCTCTCTCCCATCCGTCTCTCCCATCTCTCATCCGTCTCTCTCCCATCATCGTAATTTCAGAGCCCCTCTTGATTGTTATGTTGAACTTTCTTTTGTGTAGCATGACATCTGTGGCATCTGTGCTACAGCTAATTTTTTCCATCTTCTTTGAGACTTTCAGTGTATACTTTAATAAGGACGAGAGGAGCACACAGTTGTATTTCCATTGGAGAGAATGCTGATATGGAAGTTTCTTAAGATGGCACTCAATACATACTGAAAACCGTGGAATTCACAAGCAGGTTTTCTGAAAGTAGTCACATTTTGTTTTAAGAATCCAAACGGAATTGTTGAAGTGATTTCTTCTTGCACCACATGCTAACCAAGAGATTCAATATCCTTTTGCTGTTTATGTCTTGGGAAATAAAATACTATAATAAATCCTCCTATTAAAACATCTTTAATATGGTAGACAGCTGGAAATTACAGTTGAAATGGAATCTGTTTAAATGCTCAGATTTCTGAGGTATAAGTGTATAAACTAATGTGCCTCTGTTTGTATATATACCTGTGATAATTACTTCTTTTTCAGTTTTGGACCGAGTACAGAGCTTTTTACCACAGATGGCCCATGCAAATGATGAGCTAAGAAAAAAAATGGTAACAGCACCAGCTCATCAGTTTGATATTGAAAATCTAGACAGTGCAACAGAAAAAGTCATAGAAATGGTAAATACTTCCTATATTTTTTGATTTTCTAAAGTAAATTCAGATGTGATTAAAATAATTCCCTAATCTTAGAATGAGCTAATTTGGTAGAGAAGGCTACGTCTTTACCATTTTAGTCTGCACTCTGCAAATTCGAAACATAGATGTAATGAAAATGCTTATTTGGTTAAAATTTACTACTTGGATTTCGTACTTGCAGAATTTAATGACTGAGGACGAAGTCATTTAAGGCCAGAATAAGATATAAGCCTTTAGTATAAGAGTAATAACTGGCTTTCAGCTGTGCTTCATAGGTATTTTTAGGACTAGCTAATAGGTCTTGTGTTAAGAAAAGTTGTTACAGTGTTTTTATGATCCTTTATGGCCAGTATTTGTCTGTTTATTTACATTCACATCAATATTTTCGTTCTGTTTTTCACT